AACGTATTTGGTGAGTTAGATGATTTTGACAGGATCATGGCTTACCGCTCTTTTCTGCGAAACCCTTCCATGGAAATAGGGCGTCTCCTTCTAGCTGGACCTTTGAAGAAGGAGGAACGCATGATTTTGCATTTACTTGTTTGGATCCTATGTCCCCGAGCTACAAATCATGCTCAATGTTCTTCAATTGATCTTCGTATTATTCATGCCATAATGAATAATGAGCCTTTAGATTGAGGCATTCTTGTCACCATGACTATGTTAAAAGCCAAATGCCATCCCACCTTCAAAATTCCATATGCCCTCCTTGTCTCTCGCATTCTTGAATACAAAGGAGTAAATGTCGAAGGTGAACAAACAGTAAGAACGAATAACTTAAACTGGATGCTGGACAACACATTAACCCAACTCCAAATGGTGCGTGTCAACAATATTTATGTTCACAAGGATGATGTTCCAAATGAAGGTGACGATACTGAAGATTCTGATAAATATATGCCTCCTGTTGCTGATTTTCCTTCTGATCAAATCCAAAGTGTTGGAACTTCCTATGCTCATCATGAAACCCGTCAATCTATGGAAGACATGTTATATGATATGAATCAGAGGATGCATGCATTCTTCACTCTTTCTGGCGTACAACATGAGGAAATAATTCGTCGTATATCTGATGTAGATGATAAAGTGTGCCATTTAGAAAATAAATTTGATGCACACTTTCTTAGTGATAGTGAAGAATTTTAAAGTTTGTTTTATTTTATCTTGTGATTGTAATGTATTTTCATTTCTGACATAAAATGTGGTGTTCTTTTAATGCTTTGATTGAGGGGGAGTTATCTCCAAGTTATGCATATTTTGAGGGGGAGCTCTTTTGATTGTTATAGAAAGAGCTTTCAATTTTTTATTATAATCAAAATAGGGAGAGAAATATTTAAAGCCTCTTATGATTGAATTTAAATATTATCTGGTATGTTTAATGTGTTTGTTAGTGTGACAGATAAAACAGGTTATTACAAGGCTTTAAAAGAAAATTTTGATCATCATCAAAAAGGGGGAGATTGTTGAACATTCAAGGACTTGATGTTGAACTTACATGGACATGAAGCTTGTTGATTTTGATGATGATTTAAGAACAAAGAACTTAGAGAGTTGAAAACTTGTTTTATTGTGTAATAACTCTGTTTTGATTAGTTTGAGTCTGTAATATTAGAGTTTAAGATAGCCGCTACATAGTCTGCACTTTAGAAGCTTCAAAAACTCACATCTATCAGTTTGTCTCGGCTTTAATCGATTAAATGGTCAGATAATCGATTATTACAGTGAGAAAAACCATTTTCTATATCTGTTCACTGTAATAATCGATTAACACACCTGTTAATCGATTAAAACAGAGAGTTTTGGGGTTCTGTTGATTTTGGCTCTGTAATAATTGATTAACACTTCATTTAATCGATTATTTTAGTCAGATTTTGATTTTCAACTTCAAATTAAACCTATTTTCGAAAATCCTAATCCCAATACTCTCTAGTTCCGAAAATCCCAATTCCCAAACCCTAATTTCTCTACTTAAGGTTCTCTATGGCTCTCAGAAAAAAGAACAACATTTTCCAAACAAAAGTTAAGTGCTGTGAGTGCCAGAGAACTGTTTGTTGGAGGAAAAAGGGGCTTTTGGAACCTGGTGTGAGCTAGAAGAGATAAGAATCACTAAGTGGAGTTCTTAGTGGATTGAGTGTTGTGCCGTCTCTGGGGAAAGATGTTCTTCATCTCTTGTGGGTTTCAAGAGAGGTGTTTTCTTTATTTTGTATTTTCAATTGTTATCTGTTTGTAACAACTTTGATTATAGTGACAACGTTAATCCTCTGTTTGAGTGATTAGTAACTGGATGTAGGGTCTTTTGATTCGAACCAGTATAAATCTCCTGTGTAAGACTCTATCTCTATCTTATTTATGTTTACACAGTTTTTTAATCGGTAAAATTTGGGGAAAATTTTGAAAACCTAATTTTTTTTAAGAAACCAATTCACCCCCCTCTTGGTTTTTGTCCGACCACGCGAACATTCCGCTGCGCGATTCTAACAATAAATAGATTACCTATGTGTGATTTATACATAAGGGAGATTAATCTCAAACCCTATTTTCTCTATATTCAACATAGTATCAGAGGCAAAGCCTAACATCTTTCCTGTTATTGTCTTGGGTCAAGAGTTACCATTTCGTTCTTGGTCAAGAGTACCCTTTGGCTAGTTCGGCAGACTTCGTTGGAGGGTTTCTTAGTTACCGATAGATTTTATGTGTCAAAAAATCTAATTTTTCTTGTAGATATAACATTTATATATTTTATTATTACATGTTACTCCATATTTGATGAGATGTTGATGTATATTATTTTTATATTAATTTATATTAAACAATAAAGAGTATTATTACTTTGGAAGGTGAAACTAAAACAAAAATAATATAATATTAATTTGTGTAAAAGACATTATTACTTATATAAATATACTTCAATAAAGAAGTATATATATTTTTATTGAAATATTATTTTCTTTAAATTAAGTATTAAATAATAATTATTATTATTTAAAATAAGAAAAATATATATTAAATTATTATATAGATTTAGATATTAATAATTGATATTATAATTTATTATATTATAATAACAAAATAATTATATATTATCATTGTTATTATAAATTTAAATAACTAATTGATATTCTTTTAATTTTAATGTTAATTTAAAAAAATAACTTATTTTTATCAATTTTAATATAATATTTTTAATTAAAATAATAAATAAAAGATTAATGGAAATAATAATAAAAAAATAAATAAAAAAGAAAAAAATAATTGTTTCATGTTAAGAGATTTTAATTCACATCATTTAATTTTGTGTGTATAAATAGTAAATAAGTCTATTTAAATAAATAAATTGACAATAATTATTGAGAATTAATATCATAAAAAACATATTTAAAAAGAAAAATTACTGATTTATTGTTTATATACAAATTTTGATAAAGAAAAATCAATTCTTTTGAGATGATACAAATGTTTTCTTTTCTTTTCCCATTTATTGTCTTATTTTTCTCTCCTGCATTTACTTCTTGTTTTTTTCTCCTTAATTTTGTTCTCCTCTCACTCCATATTATTTTACATTTAAAAAAGTATATTAAAATTTGATAATATAACTATTTTACTATTACGGAAAAATAAAAATATTTAAATAATCTAAAAATATTATAATTTAATATATTATATTTAAAAATTATTATATGATAAATTTAAGATATTACAAATATTATTATTATATTATAATTTTTAAGAAATAAATTATATATTTATTTTAAATTATTTGTTTAATAAATATTTTTTAAAATTATCTATTCTAATTAATTATCATAACACAAAATTATTATAACTAAATATAATTATTAAATAAAAAATATATTTAATTTATAAATATTTGATATTTTTTAAATTAGATGAGTAATTATTTATTATAATAAAATATTTTAAATTAATTATTTACGTCATCATAAATATAGTTATTTATTGTCGTAATAATTTTAAATAATTAGTTAATATTTTTTACTTTTAATATTGTTTTTAAAATATTTATTTTAATATATTTTATTATATTTAATATAATATTTCAATTAGAAGAATAAGTGTAGAGAAAAAATAATAAAAGTAAGATAGGAAAAAAAAGTCTACAAAGATAGAAGAAAAATTATATATAGTAAATAAGTCTATTTATAAATTTTATTTGAGTAATTTTTATTTTAAAATATATTATTCTCAGGTCATTTCAATTATTGAGTAATTTATGTGAATAATTTTTTTTCAAAATTAATATTAATTTTATAAATATATTAAATAAATAAAGAATAAAATAAAAAATACACAATAATAAAATAAAATATTGATAGTTATTAATTTAAAATAAAAATATATCTTAGAAAAATAATATATATCATCAATCGAGATATTATTTCATAGTTTTCACTATAATATATATAATATATATTGTATTCTAAGGTAAAAATAGTACATGTGAACTTTTTGAACTAACCTACATAAGCTTCAAACTAAAATTTTATAATCTTATTTTTTAAAAATTTCTAACTTTATTTTTTTAATACTTTTAAAACTTCTAAAGAGACCTATATTCCTAAATGGTGAGAAAAAAATACTATATTATCTTTCCCTTTTTAATTTTATTTTTTTCACTTTTTAAATATAATTACTTTTTTATTAATTTTTCATATATTTATTATATATATATATATCATAATAATTATTTTTGTAAAAATATTATAATTTAAATTTTCTTTCTTTAAGATAACAATATTACAAAAAAATCTTCATTATATATAATCTATAATTATATATAAAAAATAAAATATTTTAAGAAAATAATTATTATGATTTATATTTAAAAATAGTAAAAATACAAAAAAATAAATTATAAATAAAATAATATTTTAAAATTTTTTATTAAAACATGAACACGGGTATTATTTGTATTTTTAACAATTATATATAGTTATAATTATAAATATTATTAAATAGAAATTATAAAATAAATATTTATACATCATATCATTAATCTTTATAAAAAAGTAATTATACCATTATTAGACAATCTAATAATATAATTTAAACATACTTTTATTGATCCTTAAATTTATTATGATATTGAAACATAAATTATATTTTGCTAAAAAATATTGTTATAAAATAAATTTTTAAATAAATAAGATATTATTATAATACATAATAATGTATACAAGGCATATCTTACCTAATAATATAACAAAATTAGGTACTGTTTTCAATTATTTTGTAAGAAAATATCTTTAACAAATTATACGAAATTTTGTTATGTATAGTAAAATATTTTTTTTAATTATAATAAATTAATAAAATCATATTATTCTTTTTTTTTCTTTTAGATGGAGATAATCTCAATGTGCTTTAGCAACCTATAAAAGGACATGCACACCTATACCCAACACCTATATTCAAGAGTTCTCGATCTCTTCTTTATACTTCAGATTCATATTCAGATCATAGCGAATAACACACCCATAATGACGGATACTGATGATGAGGCTACACGACGCAGTAACGCAATTGCGATGTACCGTAAGAAACTTCTTCAACACAAGGAATTGGAATCCAGAGTGCGGTCAGGTTTGATTTTTCTCAATCAAACTCATCCTTGCGACTTTGATATTGTGTAGTCTTTGATGTTATTTTTAAAATTTGTTATGATTTTCATTCTGCCATATTTCGTTTAGAATTCACTATTATTTTCATCTTGCGACTCTGATATTGCTTTTAGAATTCGTTATTGTTTTCATCTACAATATTTTTTATCCACATTGTCATTATATTTATATTTTTAGGGTTTAATGATTATGAATTTTAACGACTTTAACTTTGAAACCCTAATTGCAGCCAGAGAGAATTTGCGTGCTGCGAAGAAAGAGTTTAACAAAACAGAAGATGATTTGAAGTCTCTTCAAAGTGTTGGACAGATCATTGGCGAGGTTCTCAGGCCTCTGGACAATGAACGACGTATGTAATATATTCTTCCTCGTATTTTGACTGATATTCGGCAATTCAATTTCATGATATATGTAATTATGTATTGAGATTATGCACACAAACTGTTTTTCTTTTAGTTGTGAAATTATGCACACAAAACTCATGTTTCCTTTTAGATGTCAAAACTTGTGCCTATATAATCTATACTTAATTGCATATTTTATTTTCAACTATCATCATTTAATGAATTTTACCATTCAAATTTTTTTTTCTGCATTTTATCATCATATCTTAAGTAATGCATTTTACTACGCAATGACAGCATGCATCATATGAAAAGAGTTAAAAGATTAAAAAACCTGAAGCAACATCGTTTTGTTACAAGTTCTTGTAACGCGGTGTGGATGTGACACCATTTCCTTTTTCAACGAAAAACCTTTTCTCCAGACACACTGACACACAATTAAACATTTAAAAATCAGGGATGTTAAAATTCTGAAATGATGATAATTGAGTGGTTAATCCTGTTATTGGGCCTATTATCTATAATCTAATTAGTTGATCAGGCTAATTGATAAACTATCTTTATGTTGTTTTTTGTTTGGTTGATGTGAACTTAGGCTTATTTTGATGATTATTTTACGCTTTTGTGCTTACTCTGTTATCTCTCAGTGATTGTTAAGGCAAGCAGTGGACCTAGGTATGTTGTTGGCTGCCGCAATAAAGTAGATAAGGAAAAACTGACTGCTGGTACGAGAGTGGTTCTTGATATGACAACGCTAACCATAATGCGAGCTCTTCCACGTGAGGTAAGCTTTTGTGGTTTATTACTTTTTGGATATTTATTTGATATAGTGAATGTGAAGTTTGTGCTCTTTGGGCGATCTGATTTGGTTTCTTTCTTAAAATCTTCTGCTAGTTTTTTGTGCCTCATATTCCATATTGTGAGTCGACAGGTTGATCCGGTAGTTTACAATATGCTGCATGAGGATCCTGGTAATATCAGTTACTCCGCTGTTGGTGGTTTATCTGATCAGATAAGAGAATTGAGGGAATCAATCGAATTACCTCTGATGAACCCTGAGCTCTTCCTTAGAGTCGGAATTAAACCTCCTAAGGTGACTTTACACTGTTCTATTTGGTCTATGACCTCTGTTATGTGTTTTGGAAACACTGCCACCTAAGTATCTATCTAAAATTTCTTTAGTGGAAGTGTAGCCATGATATTTAATTTTGAAACTGATAGCATTTTCTCAATTATTGTCTCCCAGGGTGTACTCCTTTATGGGCCTCCCGGAACTGGTAAAACATTGTTAGCTAGGGCAATTGCCAGTAACATAGATGCTAACTTCTTGAAGGTCAGAATTGTTTATTTTCTGAATTCCTTTGTGTTTTGAGGTTTCCTTTTATCTTAAATGTTTACCTTACCTTCCATACTCGAAGGTTGTTTCAAGTGCAATAATTGATAAGTACATTGGAGAAAGTGCCAGATTAATTAGAGAAATGTTTAGTTATGCACGTGATCACCAGGTAGATTCTTGAATGAAGTTTCTTCCTATTTGTTCCTATAATAAAATGAACTGTACATCTGAATCTTCATTTTGTTTATTAAGCCATGTATCATCTTCATGGATGAGATCGATGCCATCGGTGGTCGTCGTTTCAGTGAGGGAACAAGTGCTGATCGTGAGATTCAGAGAACACTAATGGAGTTGCTTAATCAACTCGATGGGTTTGATCAACTTGGGAAGGTATATCTTGCTTCTTATCCTCATTTAGTTTGTTTTGAAAACCATAATCACACTGTACTTTAGAAACACCTGCTCCCCCTTCCTAACAACTTTGATGGATAAGAAATAATGTCCTATTTTTAATCTCATTTTTGATGGGGAAGCTATTGGATGACGACCAGTGGGTTAAGCTTGTTGAATAAATGCATTGAATATATCTAAATTTTCAGGTAGAGACTACTTTTTTTCATTGTCAAGGTTTGCAATTTTTCCTAAGTATTAAACTTAGGAAGCATCTGCAATATTGAATCATAATGTTAACAAATGAATTCTGCACTGATCATTTATCAAGGAAAAAAGCAAGTGGCCTTTTTTCCAGTAGTAATGAATATAGTTGAGCTGAAATTTTTTAAGCTTTTTCTCTTTATCAACTATCCGTAAATTAAGGTTCAGCATATTTAAAACATGCTTCTTTCATTTATGTGATATATGGTTGACATAAAATATAAAAGCATAGCAACCTTCTAATTAATGTGTCTTCTTTCTTTATATTGTGATTTATTCTCACTAAAATTATTGTTCTAGCAAATTTAATTGTGGGTTGACAACAATTACAACATTGCTGTCTCAATGGATGTTGTAGGTTAAAATGATAATGGCAACAAACCGTCCGGACGTACTGGATCCTGCTCTTCTGCGTCCAGGAAGATTGGACAAAAAAATAGAAATTCCATTGCCAAATGAACAAGCTAGGATGGAAATTCTTAAGATTCATGCTGCTGGGATAGCTAAGCATGGTGAAATAGATTATGAAGCCGTTGTGAAGCTTGCTGAGGTGAGTTCAGTTTGGATTTGTATTGTTAGATAATTGTAGCATGTTTGATGAGTTTTTTATTGCAAATTGCTTAGGGATTTAATGGAGCTGATCTTCGAAATGTGTGCACGGAAGCTGGAATGGCAGCAATTCGTGCAGAACGTGATTATGTGATCCATGAAGATTTTATGAAGGTGAGTTCTTTCTATGAGAAATGCTAGTTTTCTGTGTATTTTATCATGTTCATGGGATTAGCCCTCATCAATCACTGGACCAATAACTTGACTTCTTTCTTTGGCTCGCAGGCTGTTAGAAAACTGAATGATGCAAAGAAGCTTGAATCCAGTGCTCAGTACAGTACTGATTTTGGCAAAGACTAAAGCTATTATACAATTCTCTGACCCATGGAAATCTTTTGAGCCAGAAATACTTCGTGCAATTAGCTTAACTCAGACGGCCTTAACTAATAAGATTGAAGTGGTCTCTATTGGCTATGGCCTTTTTTGTCTGACTTTAGGGAAGATTGTTATTGAATTATTTACCTAAATTAATTGAATTATTTTTTTGTTTTCTTTTATATTATTTTGCGTCTCCCATTCATGGTTGGAGACCCCTTATTGAGTGAATATGCGATGCAATCTTCATCAATAAATCTTTTTTTACTGTTTATTGACAATTTATACTAATTACAGCTAACAACAATCTAATCTTGAGTTAAAATTTTAACTGATGTAAAAAGTTGTTTTTACACATTATAAAATTTTAATTGATGAATAAGTTCAAGCACTAGCTTAACTCAGTGGTACTTATCATAATATGCGCTAACCTACATTTATATACTGATGTAGATTGAAAGGAATGGTTTGGTTTTTCAAAAATGAAATTACCAACTTCAGGATGGTCTAGCATATTGTTATCACTTCCAACATAATTTACCATTGTTTGTACTGCTTCTTTAAGGTTACTAACCATAGTTGATCATTGCTTATACTGCTTCTTTAAGGTTATTAAACATAGTTGACCATTGCTTGTACTGTTTTTTTAAAGTTACCAAATCCTTAAAATTTAGTGTGTTTATCATTAGCTATCGCTTTCAAAAGAGAAAGATATCATAATATGCTAACCTACATTTATATACTGATGTAGATTGAAAGGAATGGTTAGGATGAGTATTTATCTGAATCCGATTGGGACTGGTAATGATTGTTGGGTATGTTTGACATGCACGAGTGTTTATTGGAATAGGATATAATTCTGGATTTTGAGTTTGGGTAACATTGATTTTAGTATAAACCATATGAAAAATATAATCTTTTACATAGTTATTTATACTAGTCTTGTATAATCGATATAAATGTGGGTTCTAACCCATGTAAAAGGTCCAAGCGGCAAGAAAACCAAATTTGTCGTCCATAAATTAATTTTTGAAATTGATGTCGCTCAGTGCACAAACCAATGAAATTCAGCTGTCGTAAAGCTTGAAAATTACAGATAGCGTGGCCTACCAGCCACTGCATTTCAAAACACGCATTTAACAGATTGAATCATCCTTGTAAATTGTGTCGCTCTCGCCAGTAGCACAGTATTATATTCTTGACTCCATTTTCTTATGCTCTCTTAGTTAGTTTGCGTTTTACCATTCTAACAATTTTGAAAAACCAGAATGCACTTACCAGCTGCAAACCTAATCCCGTAGCCTGTAACAATGGAAGGAATTAAACAAAGGTGAGTGTAGTTACCCAGAAAACAAAGATTATTTTTCAGAGGATAAAACTTGGTTTCTCAAATGAAAAACAACTTGTACCTTTATAAGAAGTGGATAGTCAGCAGATAAAGTTACGTAAGTGATACACGGTCCGACCAACATCCTAGCAAATGTAAATATGGCAGCAAATAGAATCTGTGCCATTACGTGAAACTCAGCTTCAAAACATTTTATATCATTCTTTGCTTAAAAAATTTAAACATATTTCACACTTCAATTATTATCTCCCAATTGAAATCTCATCTATTGCACACAAATAATATTGATTCTATCTGCCATTTTAGTCAAACAAATATGTTTAAGAAACTAAAACATCCCTTTATTTTCTTGAACTATCCTCCCCTAGCAAAAATAAAACCATAAGGTCTATTTCAAAACTTGGTCATTGATTTAGTGATTCAACTATACAATAGATAGAAAAAAATATCCTTAATATTTGAATGTTTGGGTATTAGATGTCTGAACATAATTTCTCTTTTAACGATGACATCATCTTCAGTTTAATTTTGAAATAAATATGAATTGTTTGATATCGTATAATTTAATGTTGGGTTGAAATATAGTAGATAGTGGGTTGACTATATTAATCAAATGTCCTTTAAGAACTGAAAACATGTTTTAACTTCAGTCAAACATTATTTGTTTATACAAAAGAACTAGTCCAACCATGGGCTATGTGTTGAATGTAGAAAGCTAAGGATAGGATAAATGCTTACACTTTGCATACTTAAAGGCAGACATGAATTAGTTGTTATGATCTCTAGGTTATAGATGAACTATAGTTTTACTTACATCAGCAGCCAAATTAAGGAGGGTGTCTCTGTAACCAAGCTCTTTCAGAAGCTCCCTCAAATGCAAGAATGGGCTTGATATCTCTGTTATCCATATTGTCGCCACCATTTCTGAGCCACACTGTGTACAGATATGGCAAAAAATCACTTGCTAATCATGAAACCCTCTCACAACAGAAACTACAGTAATAGTTACAACAACAAAAAAGTTTCTGAAATGGAGGCAAATTGACAAATTGAGAAAGAACTACTCGTAAATTTTACTAACAATCAAGAGATGACCAATATATTTTAACCCAATTATATGCAATTTCTTAAAAGGAACTTGTATTGTGGGTTTTAGATGAACAAATATTCTTGTATTTCTCATTAATAATAGAAATAAGATTTAAATGTGTTCTGGTACATGAAGTGTGACATCGTTTAAGAGTCGAGACTAAGGGTAGTTCAAATATATTCTCCTCCCTTGACCCATTGAGATATCTTTTAAAGATAAAATCGGAACAAGATTGTGTAAAGATAAAATCGGAACAAGATCGTGATAGATGAAAGCTCTAAAACGGATATGAGATTAAAACACTCTTCATTTTTAATCGAAACAAAATTTGTTTTTAGTGATTCCATAATAATCTTAATTTTGAGCCCTTGATATACAAGTCTTTAGTAATTTATATTTATAGAATTACTTACTATATTTGATATGTGATTCTTATTTTTATAAATAGTAATAGGAGATAATTTTTATACATGAATGATTAAGAGAAGAGAATTTATTTTGAGAAGCTCAAAGCAAATATTGTTTAATTTTCAGAAACTAAAAATATATTTATCCATGGAAACAATATATTCCAAACCTTGGAGAAATTATTTGAGTGTTTGATTACCTTTTGATAGGAAAGACCTGCTCCAATTCCAAGAATGCTTACCAAATGGTGTACAGTGTTGTCTAGATTGACTGTATCACCAAAGTGGCAACAAGCTAGATCATAAATGAGATAAGAAAGGCTCACTGCCAAAACTTGCATCTGCTTAGATCACACAGTTCAAACATTCCACTTTAGTGCCAATCTAATCAATTAAAAACACCCAAATCCATATAAAAAATGAAGATTTTGTCAAAACCTCAAAAGGGCATGGCATGCAGTTAATCCAGTACCTGTTTGGGTGAAGATTTTGATCCCACATGACATATTGGACACCTCCAATCTTCAACAGAGAGCCATGCCAATGTCACTGCTAAAGTTGCATGGAGAGATGACACAACGCGGTTGCAGAAATCAAAAGAACGTTTGGGAAATATTCTTCTCACTAGAACAAATACTGATGTCCATGAAACAACTCCAACAATTATTGTCTTTATGACATACTCTTCCATTTCTCTAACCTACAAATATGTGTTTACAATTGAAGTTTCAGCAAATGCATCATTACAAGTTAAACAGTACAAATTTATATGTTCAAACCTGCAACTGCGACTCTGTGAGTGACATTTGAGAGAATCCGAAGAAATAATAAGTTGTATTTCATAATACAACTGCCACCAGAATATGGGTGAAGCAATGGAATACTACCAAGTGGATATAAGAGTATTTATTTGTCAGGAAATTATTGCTCAACTACCACATTTATTATATGTATGTCTGCATGAATAAATAGATGAAATGAAGCATAGTGCTATGGTAGTTTCTGTTGGCCAGAAAAATAATGGAATTAAAAGTTCTAATTTTAAAACCCATTGAAGATAAATCTGGTGTGATTTTTAACATGTTTCCATATACTTTTCAGTTATTATTTTTAATTCTTTAACAAATATTCCAAGAATTGAACTGACATTCTATGTGTATAGACTCTTTTTTATTCTTGATAAGAAGTTCCAATTAGAAACACTTTAGAAAAATAGTTAAAAATTCAATTAATTCTACTTGTATTTAAATTTAAATATAAAAAAAATAGAACTGGGGGAGACTGTACCAAGATCAGTGATAACAGAAGGAAGGTGACCATGCATATATGCAGAATTTGATGTTTTGGTGAAAAGTTATGGCACTGTACTTCCACAGGTTCAACTTATTTATTGCTGGAAGGTAAGAACGTCACGGATGATCATCATTGAACTGGCATAAATGATTGGAAAGCATGATGTAACAGATGAAAACAATTATAATTCATAACATGCTGAAAAAGGTAAAGTTACAATAGAAAGTTGAGGAGACTCTAAAGTTCTGTACGTGATCACCAACTTCTCATTATGTTTCTGTTTCTATATTTATTTAGTGTGGGGAAAGGAATTCACAAGTATCTGATTCAGTGTCTGAGTGTTGATTGGAAAGTGGTTCATAATTTATCATTATATTAAGTTATTAGCTGTTTCAAGAAAAAAACGAATGGTGAATGAACTCGAACTGATAAAGAATATATAAATGGAACGTTTATTTACTTTGAAAAGATATATCAATTTATTTTCATTTGAATTTATATTCTTATTTTTTAGTGTCATTTTTACGATATATTTTCATAAAAATAAAATACTATTTCATCATTATTATATAAATATTTATAATGTTTATGATATCTATTTTATTGTCATAGTTATTGTGCGTTCAATGTTATTTTTAGTTTTTACTATTTGATGTTTCTTCCCTGTAACAGCGCTAACAGAGTGTGTTTCTGGATGAACCTAGGGTTTTGTCATGGAAATAGCTTTATCGATTCCCTACCAACGTTGCCATGTTGATGATCATGTTGGGACAAGTTTTGGTTCGATATCCCCAACGTTGTCTGAAAAGCGCAGGATGTTCATTCTCGGTATGGGATTCGTGGGGCAATCACTTGCACGCAAACTCCACAACCAAGGATGGTTAGTTACATTCCATTATCTTCCCTTTAATGCTTACCTTTTTAGCTTCAAAATTTGTCTCAGTGGATCAATGATTATTGGTAGGGTCGTGTCTGGGACTTGCACAACACACGTGAAGCAGAAGCAGCTCCAGGACATGGGGTTTCATGTTCACCTTTTCGATGCAATCCACCCCGAGTGAGTCAACTGGTAATTTTGCGTTCAATTTTTCATTTTTTTTCTTGAAACCATTATGTGGGTGTTAATTGGATTTGATGTCCAAATTGAGAACTAGAGCACATTTGTGTTTTGGGAATTTCATATTGAATAGAATAAACTGTTTGGTGCTTAAGTCATGAGGCTCTTCCACATGATGAACTAATTTTGTTAGGTTGCACTCTTCTTTTGTGCTCAAGCCCAATCGTGTATCAGTGGATGATCTCTTGCTGTATTAAAGGATTTGAAAACTTAAAATATATAGTTTCGAAAAGGATGTCACGGTACATAATATCTTTGAGGAAATTGAGTCAAATATGGTTGTGTGATTTATGTAGTCAATCTCACTCAATGGGTTACAACCTTTTTTGTTGTTTTTGTTTTACAGTCTGGATATCCTAAGGCTACTGAAAAATTACTCTCACATTCTTGTTTCTGTGCCCCCTCTTGTTGGCGTTGGTGATCCGGTATGATTTTACTGTTACTAACAACTGTGATGTGTCTGTCACCATTCTGTGTACGTTTTGTACTCTGAAGGTAATCTCTTTCAATTTTCCCCTTTTTTAAATATTTTTTATTGATTTATAGATACTCCAGCATAAAGAACTCTTAAGAAGCTCGTTAGTCAATTCGAATCTTCAGTGGCTCAGTTACTTGTCTTCAACTAGTAAGTCTTAATTAAAATTAATGTTAAGGTTTAGTCATGCGCTTAATGTTAAGGTTTGCGGCCTGGAGCTGCATTATCTATTAGATCAAATGTTCATACAGTACATTGACTGTTTAGAGCAAGTAACCTTTGAAAGTCAGAAGAGATTTTTTATTTTTTTTTCTAGTTTGACCCATCACAAACACTTCCTGCTGGCATGAAATTGCAATGCTACTACTTGGTTATTGTTGATGATTTATAGTTCTTCATTTGTTAGTTGCTCATTTTAAACCAGAAGGGGGTGGCTATGTATTAGATGATTTTGCTAACATGTTAATGAGAAAAAAAATAACACATTAACAACTAACATTTACCAATAAAAAAGATGAGAATGTTGTTGTTATGTACACTTCTGTTAAGCTGATCTTGCTGGAAGTTGAGGTTTGCCACTGTTGCTGATTTAATTTGTAGTCAGAAAGTTAACTAGATGTTCCAAAAGTAAAAGTATTTTGACCTTTTATTGAGTGGATTGACCTAAGGTTTGTTGGATTTTTTTTAAAGCTTATTGGAAAATATTTCATTTTGATAAGAATATTAAAAAATATAGTTGACATAAAAGAAGCTAGAATGATCTTGCCCTGCTTCAAGTCTTGTGCTGCTGCTGCTGCTTAGACATATTTCTGTGTTGCTTTCATAGTGATGGAGACACTTTCTGTCTTGCAGGTGTCTATGGAGACTGTGCCGGTGAATTGGTGGATGAGGAGTAAGCCAGTGTAACTAAATAAATCACTTTCCTTCCCAAATTTCTGAATCTTCTCTGTTAGTTGGCTCTTAGTGCGCCCATCATTTTGTGACAGTTATCCAACAAACCCGGAAAGTGAGTTGGCTAAATTAAGGTTAAGTTCTGAAGAAGGTTGGTCAAATTTGGCTCACGATCTTGGGATCTCACCACTTTTATTTCGACTGGGAGGTGTCTATGGCCCTGGTAGAAGGTACTTGCCTGTTCTTTAATTTTTTTTATCATCAGTTTCTTTGTAGGATCTGTTAAAGTTTAGACATTTCTTGTCTGAGTTGGATACCTTGACTATCAATTCAAATCTGTCATTCTATGGATATACCACCCGATAAGTGAAATATCTCATGAGATATAAGACTTTCATCCCTGGGCTTATGTTTATATCTTAAAACTCAATTTGCTCTGTTACTTAACTCTCAATTTAGCATATATATTCTTTTGGCTTGAACATTTGTTTTGTTCTAGTGCCATCGATACAATAATCAAACAGAAGCCTATGTCAGAAGGTCAGAAGAGAAGAAGTCACCGAAAATACACATCCAGAGTACATGTTGATGACATCTGCCAGGCACTGATGACTACTGTTTATGTACCTCCCCCCAGGTGAATTTCCACTTCAAGTTACTTTCTGGTACATTTAACACCCTTGTGAAATGTTTCTAAACTAACTAGGCAAAATTTCCAAGAGTAAAGCAAAGTTGTAGGATTGTCAAACAATATATTCTACGTTCTAGTCCTGCACATGTTTAGTCTTAGTGGAAGGTTATGCCGGTTACATGAACTGCCTAGGTGGCTGGAGAAACACAATTCTTAAATTTTGGATTTATTTCAATGCCTTCATCGTGTGTATCTACTGTTGCAGCTTGAAATACAAAACGGATGAAATGTTTACATTCTCAAAATGCATGTAGAATATTCGTCAAATAAAGCAACTATTGTAAATACATACACATTGATGAAGGTAGTGACTGAGGCTGTTTATCTAATAAACATAGATCTCAAGCTGAAGATTCATTAGAATTTCTTTGTGGTGACCATGCAGACCATACCAACTACCGTTTAAAGTACTTACGGTGTTGTAGATACACAGTTGTAAATATTGGTTGTGTATGTTAGTCACGATTTTATTAAACGGTCTGCATTCATTATCGTGGTTGCATAGTCAAGGTTTTGGTGGTTTATACAATCCCAATTGTGACCTTAACAGCCACATTTATTTTGCAATTTTCTGCAACATAAAAGTTTGTAATGAAAGAGAAACCGTAACTCAACTACAATTTAAAACCTTAATTATTTTTCCTATCTTCATTGTTTGTTGATTCATCCTATCGACCTTTATCAGAATAAAGTGGGCAACAGAAATTCTTAGAGGAACAGCATTTAGTCCCTATCAGCACACCGAGCCAAAAACTTGGGATCCATTATTGAAGTATGTGCTGAAATTATCGTAATATTTTTTTTTTTTTTTTCATCGAGTAAATAGTCTCTTTGATACCTGAATTTGTAGGATACTGTCATATTGGTCCCTAAACTGAAGATAATTAAAAAAAAAAGGAATTGAAAGTGTAACAATCACATTAATCCAAAATTCAATAAAACATGGTATTGAATGCTAATATGAACATATGTAGAGAGACTAAAACGATGACCAGTAGTTAAATTTAAGGACTTATGTGACATCTCAAATACTTATTTAACATTTTCTTAATGTGAGAAGAGACAACACCCACTATTTGCAGCTGCTATAGTGATTGTGTATTCTTTTTTTATTGGATCAATGCTCACACTTTTTCAGGGAAGTTTACAATATCGTTGATGATGACCCTGCTCCGAGGGAAGAAGTATTTGAGTATGCAATGAAATTGGTGGAGGAAAAGTGGCCAGGTCTGAAGTTACAAAGTGTGGAGCAGAGGCGGAAAGAGTGGTCAAATGTAAATCCAAGGGGTGAGAAGCGAGTGTGTAATGCCAGAATGAAGAGGGAACTAAGGCTCCAACTACTTTTCCCTGATTACAAATCAGGATTGAAGAGTGTAATTGACCAAATTCAGAGTCCATTCCACTGTCATTAACCAAATTTGTAGTTTCATTATTCACATCACTTCATGTTTGCATCTCTTTTGGGGGCAAATGCTATTTTAGCACTTCAAAATGATATTTTGTGGTTATATAGAACTTTATATCTGTATGAATAATAATATTAAAAAAAAAAGGAGTGGTTCTATTAATAAACACCATTAATGTTACGGGCTGTTGGTTTTATGCCATATTCAATTTATCTCATAGGGGCATTCGATTCCGGATCAAGTGAAATAAATTTTCAACCAAGACCACATAAACCAGCGATGCCAGTATTTTAAAATCGCATCTTTTATAACAAACCTTATTTATGTCATATGTTTTATCTTCATATTTACACTTTTTTACATGAGGATAAATTTAAAATTTTATTTACTAACAATAAGTGGCTTATGTTGTTTTCAATAAAATTAAATTTGTTGTTTCGACGAATTTAGAAGTAAATTATTTTTTTTATAAAAATCATAAATCTATGTGTGGTTCACTATTTTAAAATAAAATAAAAAAGTTGTGGTTTTATTCACAACTTTAGAAACAATAATAAATTTTTTACTTTTTTATTCAAATAGCTTTTATGAAAAAAACTCATTCTACGCATATATATATATATATATATATATATATATATATATATATATATATATATATATATATATATACCTAATTTGTCATAAATTAAGATTAATTTTTGTATGTTCTTATACTTAAAAAAGCACAAGTTGTTTTTTCTAATGGACAATGATATTATGGGTTTGTTAAAACAACTTGCAAGATTAATTTATTTTTTATTTTGAGTTTTAGCAATTCTTGAAGTATTGCATCATGCTTGAAATAAAGGATTTAGGCATTCAGTTATTGAGTCAGATTTCAAAGTATGTGTGGAGTGTTTTTTTTTTCTCAAAATATTAGAGTTTTCGGAGTTAATTTTGTTTTATAGTTTTTAAAATTAATTTCAAACAATAATTTAAAAATTAAATTTTTAAAAAATTATAAATTTTATTTTAAAAACTATTTTAACGAAAAATTAATATAAATAACCACGCCAAATTATGACAAAAATTATATCATAATTTTTATGATAAGAAAAAATAATTTAATATAACTATTGGTCAAAACGTTGTTATATTTAATGAAAATCAATAGAAACGAAAATCAACAGGAACAGATACGTGTGTCTATTTTTTTATAATAATTTTATTTTATTTTAAATTTTATTTTTTTCACTCTATAAGTATATCTATTTTTTATTTTTATTTTTTAAATATATAAATGATAATATATATATTTTTTAAACTATAATACTTTCATTTTTTTTATCTGACAATAAAATAAGAACGATTATAAAAGAAATTCCACTATAGATATAAAATTAAAATAAAAAATATTTTTTATGATTTTGATTTTAGTTTTAAAAAACTAAAATATAGAAACAGTATTTTTAAAATTATTTTAACATATATTAAATAATTATCCTAATTTTTAAAAACTAAAAATTATTTTAAAAATAATAAATAAATAAGTTATTAAGATAATTTATTGGAAGATTAAATTTAATTAATAAAAAAAATAAATAATTAATATTCACTCGTCTTTTTAAGAAAGCAGCATGATTATGGGTTAGTGTTTACTTGGCTTTTCCTTGCACACATCTCTTCCTCTTTTTCAACAATAAACAAACTTTGGGGTTTCTTAATCTAAAAAAGTTAGGATGCAATTCTTTTTAGGGTTCTTAACCTCTCTTTTTCTTGGAAAAAAATAATTTTAAACATGTTTTCTTTGTATAGAATTTTTTAAAACACGGTTTTTACATGTATTTTAATATCATGAATAAATAATTCTGAATATTTATTATATTTTTTAATACTAAGAACAACTAAAATTTAAACAAACTTTAAAATTGATAATAAAGGAATTTAAAATATCATTTTACATTTCCAAAATGCAAAAATAAAATATCCTAGTTAGCGTTTCATTTTTTATTAATTTTTACGTTTGAAATATTGTGTATGTTAGAGCTCTTGTTTGTTATAATTGTCTTTAAAAGATATCTCGGGTGAGTTATGAGAGAAAAGTCTTTTAAAATTATCATTGACCTCAACTTTTAAATAATGTGAGACCCATGAACTGGAACAAATGTTTATGTTTCTTTTTAAAATAAAAATATTTTAAGTTATTTATCAGTAACCAAGTTTGTAAAAGTAAAATTAAAAAAAGAAAAAGTTAAAATAACATAATAGCTATTCACCACGGTTGGAAAGTTTAATTATGTTTTTTAAATAAAACATTCAAGGTGCTCACACATTTTGAAAAGTTCACACTAGAACTTGCCAATGAAATAGGGTCAGGATCTAAAAATAAACTTCAAGGGATCCTGTGATGTTTGTGGACTAGCTTAAAAAAAGTTGAACAACTTATAAGGCAATAAATGAGAAGCCAAGGTGTCAAAGTGAACTCCTCTCGAGAATTTATTAACCATGACTAAAATGACAGTGCACCTAGAAGAAATGGGAAGGACTAGTAAAGAGAGTTTTTCCCAAATAGTATGTGGAATTGGTAAAGGCTGGAGCAAGCTTGTAGGAATCTTGGTTTCATATTTAGTTTGTTAACAAGTAGGACACTACACAATAAAGAATTTTACATCTTTACGCATGTTGGGCCAGTAAAAATTGTCTTATAAACGTGTAAGTGTTTTAAAGAAGCCTGTATGACCAACCAAAGGTGATCGATGAAATTCTTGTAATAATAAAGTGCGAAATTGCGACAAAGAGGGTAGCCAAATTCTTCCTTTAAACAAGATCAACCCATCAGGAAAATGGTAATTTGCATGATTAGCAGGGTGTGCTTGAATATTACTTAAGAGTTGAAGAAATTCATCATTAAGGGACAGACTTTTACGCAAATCATCCAAGAATGTAAAATGAGGTGTTGACAAAAACAAGCATTGCCCCACGTGATCCACATGTGTCCGAGACAAGGCATCTACAACTACATTATGGTGACTAGCCCTATATTGTATGGTATAGTCATAACCCAAAAATTTCAAAAGATAAACTTGTTGTTCTGGGGTTTGAATCACTTGAGAAATGAGTTCCTTTTGGCTTTTATGATTCGTGACAATAGTGAATTGATGGCCAAGTAAATATTGGCTCCATTTTTTTACTACTGACATAATGGCATGCAATTCACGGATATAAGTTGAGGCTTAGGAGGCGTGGGAAAAGTGATTTGTTGAAGAAAGCAACAAGATGGTTGTTCTGCATTAAGATGACCCCCATAGCAATGCTAGACGCATTTGTCTCTAAAATGAATGGCATGGAGAAGTCAGGAAGCGTTAGGGTGGGAGCCTTAGTTATGACATGTTTAAATGATTCAAAAGCAGATTGAGCAGTAGGTGACCATTCAAAATTCCAATGCTTGAGAAAGGTAGTGAAAGAGGCTCAATTGAAGCATGACCACAAATAAAACGACGGTAAAAGCCGGTTAATCCTAAGAACCCACGTAATTGGCGAAATGAAGAAGGAGAAGGCAAATCAAGCATGGCCTGAATTTTAGTAGCCTCAGGTGCAACACTAGTACAAGACACTATGTGACCCAATTATTCGAGTTGGTGCTTGTCAATTAAACATTTGGAGCCTCTGAGATAAAACTCACCATCCTGCAATGTTTGGAAAACTTGCTCCAGATGTAATATATGAGCCTGTAAATCACGTCTATAGATAAGAATGTTGTCAAAGAAAATAGTGACAAATTTTCGTAACAATGGAGCGAAAACATCATTCATGGTGGTTTGAAATGTAGAGGGTGTGTTACACAATCCTAAGGCATGACACTGTTAGAATCGCGCAGCGGAATGATCGCGTGGTCGGACAAAAACCAAGAGGGGCGGGTGAATTGGTTTCTTAATAAAAATTAGGTTTTCAAAATTTTCCCCAAATTTTACCGATTAAAAAATGTGTAAATGTAAATAGAGAAGAGAAAAGAATCTTACACAGGAGATTTATACTGGTTCGTGTTAGAAAAGTAGTTTTAGATCAAGAGGGGGGGTGAATTGATCTTTGAAAGTTTTTCGCAAATAACAGATTATCTATTTGTAAAAATAAGATTTCAGATCTGTTCTTGAATCACAAAGCAATCAATCAAATATAAACGCAGCGACAAAATTAATGGAGAGAAAGGTTAAGAAAGATATCACCGGTGTTTTATACTGGTTCACCCAATACCAGGGCTACGTCCAGTCTCCAGCCAAATTCCAGCTGGGTTCCACTAGATCAAATGTTTTGCAGACTTACAATCTTACACTTAATCTACCACAAGAACCAAATTCCAGTTCCTGCACTTAACCTCTCACCAAGAACCAAATTCCAGTTCTTGATAACCTCTACAACCAAATTCCAGCTGCAGAGAAACCAATGCCCAAATTCCAGGCACCAAACAATACAAAAAGAATGTAAAGAAATGAAAAAGAAGAAACTAGAATGCTCAAACCAGTTTATGCAATTCTGCTGTAAGTGTTTCTTCTTCAGGAAAAATCAAGTTGCCTCAAGAAAGATTTTCAAAGAACTTCTCAAAAAACTGACGCGAATCTTTCTTGAAAAGATGCTAAAGTTTGCTTGCTTGATTGCTTAAGATTGATGTTAAAATGTTGTGTTTGAAATGTTCAAGCCAAACTGTTTTTATAGAAGATTTTCAAAACTGCTGGTTTAATCAATCTGTTAAAAGATTCTTTTAATATGTTAAAAGTGCAGTTTAAATCTGTTAAAACTTCTTTTAATCCATTAATACGTTCTTGATTCTTTAACAGATTTGTTTTAACTGATACGACAACGTTTGTATCAATTAAAACTCTTTACAAAAAAATCTTCTAATTTGATTTAATCGATTGTTTCGTGTTTCAATCGATTAATATACTGCAAAACTTTATTGTAAAACTTTCCAAGTTATTTTAACTGATAAAAATAAGTTTTAATCGATTAAAACGCTGTGTAGAAATTTT